GTTAATGGCAAGCTATAGAACATTTGCATGTTTTACTTTTTGTCCAATTTTGCAATGAAGAAGTTGCTTAGTTCGTTCACTTCCTTCTATTTACAAACAAAACTTAACATATCATCCCGCTTTGTGGAGAGGGTGACAGTGAAGTCGCAGGTGGCAGCGCTTAACGTGTTTAGGTACCGGGGAATTCATCATCGATCAGCTCCTGTTCGGGCCAACCAAGTCCTACAACCATTTAGGGTCGGTTTATTGGTACCAGGTTTGCCTAGGATCATGAAAAACGCTGATCTGTACATGGTATAGCCCCCGCAAGTCATTGTTTGGAATCGCAAATGAAGCACCACAATATGAAAGGAAGTGCGATACAGGATCTGGCAGGTTTCTGAAGGACTGATCGAAATCCGTCCTTTTTGATCTTTGAAAGCACGGTCCGCGATATAGAGGGGTTGGAGTGGTGTTGAAATACGGAAGAGTTGTTCCCAAGGGACTCGTCTTTAAAGAGAAAATGCAGGAGGGAACTTTAAAAAGCTGTTAATAGGACTTTAGCCTACGGCAACTTATGAGTACAAGGCAAAAAACGAAGCGTGTTGAGACAAATCCAGCCATCTGAATCCTTGGTATGAGCTTGAAAGAAATGGGACCTTCCACTTCATACAACTCATCCGGTATCGTCTTTTGCCGCAAGGAACACATAGAAGACAGTGTCTGGAGGCGGAGTCACCGGAAAACGGGAGGTGTCGCTGGAATAATTTGGCGACTCAGCACTTTTACCTTACAACTTTCCCGGCAAAACCGGTCCCAGGTTGTCCTGTGCAAACCACACTACCCTTCCCGTGCAATTTTTTATGTTTTCATAGGTCATCGCGTATCGGCCTCACCCCATAAGCGGCTCAGAGCCTGGAGGACTGATAAAGCCGCTAGGATGGAATGTACATTTGGCTTTCTCGTGATACGATTCTGTGTCCCTTGCGGAAGAGAGCGTGGGACCCCCTCGGGCAAGAGACAAGAGTAATTCATCTTGAGTGATTCAAACATTCACGCAAGGTTTTCATATAATTGAATGTATCATATGAATGATCATTGCTCAATGATTCCATGAAGTAGGGTAACTTTCTAAGCTGGAACTTGTTTTGGTATTCGTTCAATGTCCCGACTCATCATTTCTGTCAT